AAGTTCTTCCTCATGTTCAGCTGTACCTTCCTCTGCTTCCGTTTGTGCCCATTGCCCCTTGTCCTGTCGCTGGGCACCACTGGAAAGAGTCTGGCCCCATCCTCCTGACCCCCACCCTGCAGATATTTGGAGGCATTTATTAGATCCCCTCGCAGCCTTCTCGGCAAGGGACTGGCGCGTGCTCTCCTGATTTTAAGCAAAAGCAAACAGGCAGCTCAGCTGACAGGACTTGCTGCAGGGTGGGCAGCCAGGAACCCCAGTCAGCTCCTCGCGGCGTTATTTATGTCCTTTCCTCGTCTGCTCAATGGCAGTGCTGCTGGGATGCCAAGAGGAACTCATATCTGCCCAGCAGTTTGAGAACATAAAGCCGTTTATAAATAGTGAGCATAAAAGCAGCGGCGTTAACGTGCCCAGTAACACCAACTCCTCCCTGCGTGTCCGACGGATGGCAACACGAGGAGGCAACGTAGTGTGTTAACGCCCGTGTGGTCCCTCCTCTGCTGTAAGCACCCAAGCTACAGAAACCAGGGCAGCCTCGGCAGAAGCATCTCCTGCCGCCGCGGCACGCAGCGTGCCAACCCGCAGCCAGAGCCAGCGGCACCGCCGGGCTCGAGGGACTCGTTTCCATCGCAGCGGGGGAGGACAGCGAGCAGGTCTCAAGTGCCCCAGGCAGATTTCATTGAAGTTTCATGTTTGTATTAGTAGCACGAGAGGATTCCTCCTCCTCAAGGTTGAAAATGAGGATTTTTCGGGACACCGCAAGTCACATCTGCGTGCGCTGGCACTTGGTTATTCACTGGGGACTGGCAGCTGGAGACCTTCTCTGCTCAGCAAAAGCGTGAGCTGGAAAACGACTGCAATTTCAGGAATTATTCCTGTAAGTCACTCTTGAAAGAGCACCTTTCCAGCTCCGAGGAAGACTCGGCAAATAGAGATGCAACAGCGAGCACGTTAAGAGGATCAGAAGCGGATTAGGCTAACAGCAACAGCTGGCACATCAGGCGGCATCTGCAGCCGGGTTACTGCTTTGGGCGCTTATAAATAGAAACACGGATAACCACTCGGAGACGATTTCAAAACCATTTTTTTCCATCAGGTGTAGAATTGTTGCCTTGCAACTGTCTTTGGCGGGGCAGGTTTGAGTTGCCTTACACTAGCTTTGTTACAGCACTTGTTACTATGGGTCACACCAACAAGGCCCACAGATCCCGGACGCAGGCACCTTCTCGGGTAACACCAAACCAGCGTGACACAGCAGGTTTAGATGGGGACAAATATTAGCACACTGTTAGAAACCATTACAATAAAGAAAACCTTGCAGCACAGCAGGGTCAACGGCAAATCATGATCTAAGAAAGCACTCGTGGCCAAATTAATTATCCGACGTCCTCACCACCCGTATCTTGCAGCAGAACGTACGGGGTCAGGCTCCTCCGAGTCTGGACAACACGGATAGCGACTGACGCAGCGGCACGGAGCAGCACGGGCGCTCTGGCTCGCTCTTCCCTAACGGTATTCCTGTTCAGGCCACCAACGCCGTGAGCTCTGCAGGGCTGCTGCCCATGCAGGCGTCGGCCCGCGGGCAGGAGCAGGCACAGCCCAAACCCGGCTTTGCCTGGGAACGCGACGGGACTAAACAGCAAGGCAAACCACCTCTGCTTCTCCGCAGAGCCTCTCTCCGCAGCGCTGCCGTGCTCTAGAGGAGCTCGTTGTACCCCCCTTACCGGGACTCGTCAGACATCATCAAGCCTCACCATCAGCCTCCTCTCCGCCCTAGACCACCGGTAAGGAGTCGAGACCCAAGAAAGGGGACACAGAGATCAAACACAGCAGAGGGAACAGAAGTCTCACCGATGCGCTTCTCCAGGTCTGCGGCCTCACTCGGGGTGGCTCTGGGCAGGATACCGGGGTCTCTGAAGCTTGTCTGGAGCAGGCAGCTGATGACGAAGAAGAAGAGGATGGCCGCAATGACGGGGATGGCCAGGGTCAAGTGACGGGCAAGGAAGGGGCAGCTGTTAAAAGAAAAAATAAATTGCCTTGTTACCAACCATCACTAGGGAAGCGGCTCTCAGCTGCCACACGACACACGATGAATTATCGCGGTGCAGTGGGCTGAAGCGCTGCTGCTTTGTGGAGACCTCTGGAATGGCAAGAGCCAGCCCAGAAAACACCTCTTCACCCTTCTGACGTCCCAGAACTGCCTTTCAGAAACCAGTCAGCCGCCCCAAAACCTGGCCAGCTTCTACAACGGCAGCCTGGAGAACACACGGAGAAACACCCCGAGCTGGGCAGGGATCAACCCCAGGGTGAACGCGATCCCGCTGGGCCCAACGGGTGAAGCCGAGAGGGAACTCGGCTCCGATTCAGCGCCGCTCTGCTGTCTCTGGATGACTCCTGTGCCCTTCGCGGCGTGCCAGACGCTTGGACGAGGACACCTTCCCGCGCTGACACCGCTGTGACGAGCCACCGGGCATCTCTGCGACGGCGCCCGCTCCTGCGCTTGCTGTGTCGCGGCCTGGGGCTGATTTATCACGGATGGGGACCAGTGTGATCGCGCTGCGCGTCAGGGCAGCTCCGTTACTCGCAGCAGGATGGGTGCAGATGGCCGAGGAACGCGGCTCTTGGCACGGCGCGGTGCCCGAGACCCCCCCTTGTCCCTCGCTGTGCAGAGGGATTTGCTATTCTGAGCACCGGTGAGCACCCGGCGCTGAGCCAGCCGCTCGAGCCCCGCCGCCTGCGGCAGCGCTCAGAGTCCCTAACGC